CTCTTATAAGATCAATGACTATTTACTACTTCTTTTTTTATATATGTTAAGTATCAATAATGTAGTTGTTTAGGTATTCACGAGTCTTAAAAACTGTTTGAAGTTTAGGAGCTCTGGTGTCTCAGCAGTACGGTAACCAACCTAGAGCAACTTATTTTATGATTGTGTGATCACCATAAGTTTATGGTGCGTAGAATTATTCTTAAAATTTCTTTTAATCATTTGTCTGAACATTATGGAAGTAGTGTTTCCATCAAGCTTTCTACCATCTTGGTATTTAAATTGAACTTAATGTTGTAACTCCAGCACATGTGATACTATATATATGTATTCAGAATAAAACCACTTCCTGTCTGTTTGCCTCATTATTTAGGTTATACATTATTTATGAGGGAAAATGGATCATGGTTAACTGATACATTGAATCACAGCATTGATCTTTTGTTCATTAACATGCACTCCATCAACTTGAATTTGGCATTGTTTATGCTGTGAGAACCATCCAAATGAGTTCCAGTTTGTAATCAGTTTGTTTGTTTTTCTTAATTATGGACTTACTTTTTGCACTTCTTTTTTTTGTCTTGCTGCATGAAGAAATTATTAGTTTGTGTATGTTGATTTGTTATACCCCCCTCCATCCCCCTTGAATGAAATTAATGAAGGAGTATTCATATATATCAAAGGTAATTGTGTTATTTAATTTGCAAGGTTAAATAATTGTTTTAAAAATGGAAGTAAATACAACTACCTTGCCAATCTCTTTACTTTGTTATATTGATATTTGTCAACAAAAAATAATAATAAAAAAATAACAGTGTGTAGTATAATTCATATTTATATATGTTATGTGTAATCAAATTTCTATATACACACATTAGATACTAAAAACAAATATCACAAGCCTTTTTTGATTTGGTGATTAAGATATTGATGAAAAAGTGTGCAGTTGCTTTAATTGAACTTTCTTTCAACAGGCAAGTGATGGTATGGACAGCAGTAATGAGATTGCTGTGCTGACAGCTGAATTGGAACACCAGAGAAATCAGGTAGAAGAACTAGACTCCAAGTACAGGGTGACCCTAAACCAGCTGGATTCACTCATCCAAAAGGAGCAGGAGAGACTACAGGAGAAGAGAGATCTAGAGCGAAAGTTGGCTTTATTACAACATGACCTCAAAGAAGCCCAGAGAAAGGTTGGTGTGCTGATGCCGTGACTACTATAGATTTACATGTCTGTGTGTTTAGGTGCATTATTGCACTGCCTTAGCTCATTCTCAGTGGGTAAAATTTTAAAGAGATTTTAGCAAGGTTTAAGTGCCTTAGTGCATGTTACTCTGAGTCAGAGGCTATGATCCAGCTCACAGCCAGGCTCCTTAGGCATCATCCCTGCTGCTGGGCCCAGGCTTCATGGCATTATTATGCAACAACTGGTATCATTGAGTTGGATGAGAACTATAATATATTTTTGAAACTTGCTACTCCTATGAAGAATTTTTAATCCTGAGTGGTCTTTTGCCATAGTCATGCAAATTTGATTTTCCATGTCCACAGGGGGAGTATGAGGGTGAGAGTAGACGGAAGCTGGATGCCCTATATCAGGAGGTTAAGAAAAAGCTCGAAGATGAACAAAACAAACGCACTAGGGACCTGAACTCTGCGCAACATGTCAGTGACAAGCTGAACTCTCTTGAAAAGCAGGTATGTTTTATAAGATTTTGACTTCTGACATTCTCTACATTCTCTGGGAAAGTTTCCCTATTGTTGTTGAACCTTGTGATTCATTAAAAGTATCCAAGCATAGTAAAATGTTTGCATTTTTCCTTAAATAGTGCAGTAGCTACTATTTACAAGATACATAAGTGCCATATTACCTATTTATCATGTTTTCAGATAAAAGAAGTTCAGGACAAACTGAAGGTTGAAACAGATAACAACACAAGATTGCGTAAACAAAATGCAGAGCTAACAGTCATGAACCAGCAGAAGGAAACGTCCATTTCTGATCTCTCGGATAAGATATCCAGTGTCCAGACCATCCGTGACGTGTTAGAGCGCGATATAGCAAACCTTGGAGCACAGCTGGACCAGGAGCGTGGGCAGAAGAACCACCAGGCAGAGCTGATCTCGCAAGCTGATGGCAAAATTCAAAGTCTACAAGCGAAGGTGACCAACCTTTAAAAGAGCAAATTGTTTTGGAAGTAGTTTAATTTCATTTAATTGCCTCTAAGAAGTTTTATTTTGCTGGTTATTACAGAAAACCTGTATCAACTTTTTTTTTGCCAGGTTTATTATAATTTGGAATAAATTATACTTTTTATTACAAATACAAGGATGATTTGAGAGTAAGGAATACAAAAAAACAAACAAACAAAAAAACTAAAAATGAACTACACAAATTGAAATATTATTCGACAAATAAACATTATGTATTCTCTATCCCAGCTTGAAAATGCATCTGAACGTGAGCAGATTGCTCGCAAGGAAGCAGAAAAGGTTTCTGAACGTCTTGTACAGTTAGAGAAAGATAGAACATCTCTGGAGCTGGAATTAAGAGGAATGACAAGCAGATATGAGCAAGAAGCGCGGGCTTTGCGCGAAGCTAATGCTGCCCCTACACACAACCACCAATCTAGTGCTCAGGCTCTAGCAGGTAAATTAGTTTGAATGTATTGTTTCAGTGTGTATGTAGTACTGTGTGTCCTATAGTTAAAAAATTTACATACCTGATTGGTGTGGTATTTGTGCATTTATTTATATACCTGCCCATGTATTCCTATTTTTAAATACAGACAATTTTTGCTTTATTACAGCTTTGCAGGAACGACTCAATTTGGAGAAGCAGAAACGCCAGCAAGCAGAGGCATCTAGTCAGGAGAAGGAACGTCAAAACTCTATGTTGAGCGTTGACTACCGGCAGCTCCAGCAACAGCTACACAAGCTTGAAGGGGAGCACAGGAAGGAGTGCGAGAAGGTGGGATTTTTCTCCACGTTATGTACACTTTTATCTTTGGTCAGGAAGAAGGTGGTTTGGGTTTTCATTTTCACCTCTCGTATTGAACAGATTTTATTTATATTTTATCTTTTACCAGGTCAAAGCTCTGCAGAATCAGATGGAGACAGAAAGTGAAAAGAGAACGGCCATTGTTACCGACCTCCAAACTCAGTCATCAGAAGTATCCATGTTGCGCACAAGAGAAAAACAGTTGGTGCGTGACCTTGAAGAGATGAAGGAAGCGCGGTCTAGTCTAGAGGAGGAGCTGCACAAACTCAAAACCCAAAAATCGGTTGACGATGTGCAGATGAGAGAACTGCAAGACACCCTGGAGGCTGAGCAGTACTTCTCAGTGAGTTTTTATTATTTATTTATTTATTACTTTTTTTTTCTCTCTTTTATTTATATATATATATATATATATATATATATATATATATATATATATATATATATATATATATATATATATATATATATATATATGTATACACATATGTCTACATATGTATAAAATATAATATATTATATATATATGTATAATATAATATATATATATATATATATATATATATATATGTGTGTGTGTGTGTGTATATATACAATACATATATGTATAATATACATATATATACATATATTTATAAATGTGCGCGCGCGCACACACACACACACACACACACACACACACACACACACACACACACACACACACACACACACACACACACACACACACACATATTAATATAAGTATACACCTTTCTCCTTTTTTTGTTAGATCATGTTTTAGCTAGTCTAAGGCAGAAATATTTTGCTCTTTTAAGAGTTGCTAGCAGATTTATCACTCCAAAATTGTTTCCTTCCTACGCAGACATTGTACAAGACTCAGGTACGCGAGTTGCGTGAGGAGCTGGAAGAGAAGGGCCGGCAAATCCTTGAACTGGAGGAAGAACGTACAAGTCTAACACAGCAGTTACAACTTACAGTGGCCAGAGCAGATTCCGAGGCTTTGGCACGTTCCATCGCCGAGGAGACGGTTGCAGATCTTGAAAAGGAAAAGACTGTTAAGGAGCTGGAGATTAATGACCTCATATCCAGACATACTGTTGATATGAATAACAAAGAGACTGCCTTCAATGCTGTAAGTGATCAGAGAGGTCTTTTATAGTTGGTAAACCTTTTCTCTCTGCATTTTGACTATCTGTATCATCTCCAAATATATTTCAGATATTGAATATGTAGCATATTATATTTCATTATGTAGTATTCATTGCTAAACCGTAGATGTTGTGATGTATTTAATACAGTGCCAGAGATTAAGATCTTGTAGGTATACTACATGCAATATCAGTAAAATGTGTAAACAATAATATTCTTTATCTTTGTTTACATTTTTTTTTATTAAGACACTTCTAACTTTGTATATAACATTCCTATAAATTCATTAGGTCAAGGAGAGAGAGGAAGAGCTTACAAAGTCTGTGGAAGCACTTAAGAAGGAGAAGGAAGCCCTTAATTCTCAGATCCAAAGCCTTGAGGAAGGTTGGTATCCTTTTCAGTTTTTAGATTAGTTAAACTGATAGAAGTTAAATGTTATTAAAGTACTTCTTACTTCTTTTATATGTGGTGTAGATGTGATCTTGATGGTGTTTTTCTAATGTTGTGTGTTTTTCCTAACAGCAAAGAAAACTGCAGATAATGATCGTAAAAATGAACAAGACAAACTTAGTAAACAGTTGAAGCAGGAACAGCTCCTCAAGATGCAAGCAGTCAATAAGTTAGCAGAAATAATGGCTCGCAAGGAGAACCTCCCAGCAAATCGTAAACCCAAGGCTGCTGCCATTGACCTCAGAAAGAAGGAGAAAGAATGCCGTAAATTGCAGCAGGAACTCACCATGGTAAGTTTGGTGGAAAATGTTCCTTTTGTTTAAGTATTGGGTTTAATCGAAAAATTTGTGAAAGAGTGATAAAAGGAAAGAGGATAAAGTAGAGCTCCTGTGTCTAT